CAGATGGAGCAGGCTGCCATGACAACTGTCTGTGAATATTATTTCAATATTAGTCATACATTTCCAGCGTCTGCCTCTGGGCTCAGTGTTCTTCTAAAGCCTGGATACACATTTATTCTTAATGGACTTCTCCTGGATGTGTTTACAAAAAGAACAAAAACAAAACACTTTCAACTGGCTGACTTTTTTTTTCTTTCAGAAGAGAAATTTGAATGGATTCACACGACTGAAAATGGATTGTGAATCTTATTGTCATTTTTTCTTTTAGAAAGGTGATTTTGATGTGAATTTATATTGTGCTGGACTATAGATTTTATTGAATAGATGCACTACACCAGGATTTGGAAAGTTCCCCTGTAGGCATGTAGTCCTTACAGTAAAATTATTTTTTTCATCTAACAGAATCAGAAAGAATCTTGTAGTGGCCTGTGGTAGAAGATCCAACCCAAACTGGGCAAAACCAGTTTCAAACGAATCTGGTTTGAAACTTCCAAAGGTAAGATTTGATCCAGAGACTTAGGTTGGAGGGCTCCAGCTCCATTTCCCTGCCTTTCAGTCGGCCCTTCGCCATGTATCACTTTCACCCCCTGTACTGGCTCTTCCCATGGTGACAGCCTTGCTCAGAGCACCACACTAGGGGGAGATGAGTGAGTCTGTCCCAGCACTCTCTCCAGGTACCCCAAGATTCACTCATAATACCTTTCTTTAGCTATGTGCCCACCCCAAACACTCCTTTTTGTCAGGAGAAGAGGATATGCCGTCTGAGGGCTGAATTATGTGCTTGTTCCTGAAAAGTTGCTGTTGCTTGGGGAGTGGGTTCGGGTAATTGGCGTAAGTCAGCCAGGGCCCACACTTAGAGTTGGGGGCTGCGCCAGTCCCATGCAAATCACATGGCTAAAAACAGGGAGCGGGGGTGACTTCAAAAAGGAAAATTGTGCTTCTATTACAAGGAAGTTAGGGGACTATTTGCTAGCCACATGGTTAGGGAACAGAATGCTGGCCCAATGATAATAATAATAGCTAACATTTATTAAATACTATGAGCCAGGCACCAAGCTGCTTTACAGTTGTATTGGTTAGAGAATGTGTTTGGCTGCCTGAAATAAGGTAAACGGAACAGCAGGGGCTTAACACAGAGCGCTTGGTTTTTGCCCCACATGATATGAAGCCAGGAGATACACAGTGTCACATTGTCATCCAGGTCTCAAGCTTGCCTGGCCCTCCTGCATCATGGTTTTGCTATTCTCTGTGTGAGGCTTTCCTCCTAGCGCGCACAGGGTGGCTGCCCCTCCTCCAGGCATTGTGTCCCGGTTCCAGGCAGAATGGGGGAAGGACAAAAGAGAAGAGGCTTGTGCCAGCTGAGTCTTTTCCTTTTTATCGGGAAAATAGCTTTTCCGGAAGCCTCCGCCTGTAGATTTCTGCTTATATCTCAACGGCTAGAACTGTGTCACATGACTACCCATAGTTGCAAGGGAACCTGGCAAATCAAGTTTTGTTGGCTGAACACTGCCGCCTAGAACAAAACTGGGGTTTTCTTAGTAAGGAAGAGAGGGAGAATGGACAGTAATGATCAGTGGCTGCTACAATGTGTATTAACCCATTCATTCGTTACATCAACCTGGTGTGGTTGGTGCTATCCCTAGCCTCGTTTTATAGTTGAAGCAATAGGCACAGAGAGGTTATGTAATTTGCCCAAGCTCACACAGAGCTGTTAAGTGATTGAGCTAGAACTTGAACCCAAGCAAGCTGACTCTAGAATCTTATTCTATTATGTTCCTAGACACATCCTGACCCACTGGCCAGACCACATTTCTTCTCTAGGTTGTATATCCACTTGGAAAATGCAGGCCTCTCCTAGAAATGGTAGCTAATACTTGTTTAGCACTTTATAGTTTACAAAGAGATTGTCGCTTAAATTATTCTCTTTAAATTTTTTTTTTTTTTTTTTTTTTTTTTTTTTTTTTTTTTTTTTTTGAGACAGAGTCTCACTCTGTTGCCCAGACTGGAGTGCAGTGGCACGATCTCAGCTCACTGCAACCTCCACCTCCCAGGTTCAAGCGATTCTCGTGTCTCAGCCTCCAGAGTAGCTGGGACTATAGGCGCACACCACTGTGCCTGGCTAATTTTTGTCTTTTTAGTAGAGACGGGGCTTTACCGTGTTGTCCAGACTGGTCTCGAACTCCTGGCCTCAAGTGATCCACCTGCCTTGGCCTTTCGAAGAACTGGGATTACAGGTGTAAGCTACAGCGCCTGGCCTATTCTCATTTTTAAAATGAGGAAACTGAGGTCTACAAGAGTTATGTAAGTTGCCTAAGGTCCTCAGGTTGAAAGTGGCAGAGCTGATATTTCCTCAGAATTATAAAAACTTACTCCTGTTTCCCTTTCTTAATCTTCCTATTCTTCTCTGCACATAGGAGTTCATTTCTAGTTTTTTAAAATGACAGTATTTCACTCTAGGCCCTATATTAACTTCATAACCTTCTCAGAAAACCAATCCAGAGAAATCTTGGCTCTCTCGCCTACTTGTTTTCATATAGGCCACCAGCAGGAATGTGGTACATCAGTGGGAACTGTGACAGAAGTACGTAACGGAGGCCTTGGAAAGGGAGGTGGTTTTTCTCTCACAGCATATAAAATCCAGAGCTTCCGGCAGAAAATGGAAGTGTTAATTACAAATAGCTCTTATTGGCCTGTTAAAGAGTTATTCAACATATAGACATTGTCTGTCATTAGTTACATCAGATTAATTTGTTACTTTTCTTTAAAACTATTTCATAAATTGAACTTGTCACTGAGTTAGAATTGGCAGCCCACTTCACTGGGATAAATCAGAGAAGTTTCACTATATTACTGACACGTCAGTTTGCTTATGATGATTATTTCTCTCGTTCTTTCCCAAGTCTTTGAAATCTTTAGCTTTTGGCATTGCTGTAGTTACATATCACAACATTCTTTTGTTTTGGCCTTACTACTGAGTAAACCATAAAAATTGCAAGATCATTGTAGAATTAATACATTTTAGGGAGACGTGAGAGTTCAGTCAAATATATTTAAGAAATACATTGGTTCAGTTCAGAAAGGCAGGACAACTCGAAGCAAGGGGGAGGAGGGGGAGTGGCTTCTGGGTTATAGGTAGATTGAAAAATGTTCTAGTTGACAATTGGTTGAGTTTATCCAAAGACCTGGGATCACTAGAAAGGAGATGTCTGGGTTAAGGGACTGTGGAGACCAAAGTTCTTATTGTGTAGATAGATGAAGCCTTCAGGTAGCAGGCTTCAGAGAGGACAGATTGTAAATGTTTCTTATCCGACCTAAGGTCTGTGCTCATATTAACACTGGAGAGGTATAATGAGGCACATTGGATCCCTGCTTCTCGTCATGGCCTGAACCAGTCTTTCAGGTTAAATTTTAAAGTGCCCTGGCCTAGGAAGAAGTCCATTCCAATGGTTGGGCGGGGGGGATGGGAGGTTAAATTTTTTCTTTTGGTTTACACTCCAAAAGCTATGAATGAGGCCAGGTGTGGTGGCTCACGCCTGTCATTCCAGTGCTTTGGGAGCCCAAGAATTTGAGACCAGCCTGGGCAAGATGGTGAAACCCCATCTCTATAAAAAATTTAAAAATTAGCCGAGTGTGGTGGCAGGCACCTGTAGTCCCAGCTACTTGGGAGGCTGAGCGAGGAGGATTACTTGAGCCCAGGAGGTGGAGGTTACAGTGAGCTATGATCGCGCCACTGCACTCCAGCCTGGGTGCGATCATAGCTCACTCTCGACAGAGTGAGACCCTGTCTCAAACAAATAAAAATAAATAAAAAGAGTGCTATGTTACAGAGCAGTGCCACTCAAAGTGTGCTTCACTGTCACCTGGGAGCTGATTAGAAATGCAGCTTCACAGCCCCACCCCAGACCTACTGAATCAGGTTGAGATTAGGATTCAGCAGGGATTGGGCCCAGGAATCTGTGTTTTGACAAGATCCCTAGGTGACTTGTAAGTGCATTAAAGTTTGCGAAGTGCTGTTTTAGAGTTTTACGCAAGTGAGTTGTAGGACTGACAGATTGTGCACCTTTTAAATACTGGTGAAAATAAGAGCTTCGGCTTTAGTAAAGTAGACCTGTATTGAATCCTGGATTCTCCTTTGAAAATCTCCCAATCCTAGTCTCCAGTCAGCTACTCCAGGTCACGAGCTCAAGTGTATGCTTGACTCCATCCCCTATCAACACCTTCACCTAGTTAATCCACATTCAACCTTCCACTGTCAGGTCAAAGATGACTTCCTCAGAGAAGCCTTTGCTCAACCTCCCACCTCACATAAAATGAATACTTGTCCTTTGCAATTTCACATTTATGATTATTTGATTAATGTTTACTTTTCCTACTAGCCTATAAGCTTTAGGAAGGAAGAGACCTTATCAGTTTTGCTAACTGGTATATCCTCAGGGTATAGAACAGTACCTGGCACATAATAGATGCTCAACAAATATTTATTTAATGAATATATGAATGAAACCAAGCCAGGAATAAGTGCACAAAAGAAAATGCTCTGAAAGTTTTTTCCAAAGACTTCTCCATAAACTCTTAATCATCTAAGGCAGTAATAGTGAGGGTTTTGAAAAGAAAGCCCTGTATATTTTCCAGGCCTTGTTTTTTTGTTTTTTGTTTTTTGTTTTGGCCGGGGCCGGAGGTGAGGGCATGGAACAGGGTCTTACTCTGTCGCCCAGGCTGGAGTGCAGTGGCACTATCTCAGCTCACTGCAACCTCTGCCTCCCACGTTCAAGTGATTTTCCTGCCTCAGCCTCCTAAGTAGCTGGGATTACAGGTGCCCGCCACCATGCCCATCTAATTTTTGTATTTTTAGTAGAGACAGGGTTTCACTATGTTGGCCAGGCTGGTCTCGAACTTCTGACCTCAGGTGATCTACCCGCCTTGGCCTCCCAAAGTGCTGGGATTACAGGCATGAGCCACCGTGCCTGGCCCAGGCCTTGTTTTATCAACATTACTCCAAGAAACAAACTTTTCTTTTTTTACCATGTTCATGAACACAAAAATGGTTGACAGGGATGCAATGGTGACAAAAAGAAAGCTGGAATCTGCCTTTCAATAAGCAAGAAATAGTCCTCTCATCCAGGTCATGTCATCCACGTTCCATTGGCAGGTATTGTCATATCTGCATCCTACATTGTGAGGTCACCAAAGCAACCTATTGATCATTCTAGAATCTACCTCTTGAAGATTCCAAATGAGACTGGAAAACCCTCTTCAATAAGACCTGTGTGATGATAGATTGTGTCCTGAGCCTGCAGGTCAGGCTGAAAGAGTCAACAACCAGCAAAGTGAAGATCTAGGAGGCTGTTCCCCTTGAACCTGTGCGGACCTGATCAAACCTCGACGGAAAGGTAAGAGCACTCAGTGGACCAGGTGAATTGAGGGTGATCTGGGTAGTCATGGGGCAGTGATCAAAAGTTAACCTGTGGCCTCTGACTGTTTAGTTGCTTAGCCCAGCTCTTGTGGTCTTTATGTTTTATGTATGAAGTTTGTTATGTTTTAATATATACGTATGAGGTGGAATTGGGTCGCCTTGATGTACTGGAAAAAGTTCTGGTCACTGAATCACAAGACTGTGACTTTGAGGAGGCCACCTAACTTCTCTGGGCAATGGTTTCCTCTCCTATAAAATGAAGGTGTCTGAGGGCCTTTCTGGACAAGTCCGAAGGATCAGAGTATCTTACATTTCAGGCTCAGCTGTTACAGAGCTCTGGGCAGAGAACCTCATGATGGTCTTGCAAAGTGACTCCATTCTCTGCCTAGATCAGTTTTGCCTAATTCCCAGTGCTTTAACATGAGAGGGAGTTGCATCAGTGTGTAGTCTTTGTTTTACTTTTATTCTTGGAATGGCAGATTGTAGCTCCTGCAGAAGGAAAAGAAGAAGAAATAAGGAATTACAAAATTGCTCTACATTGACTCATGCTAGATGTCAATCTGAGATACATGGAAAACGTAAGCACATACAAGCTAAAGAAACAGATTGTGGCAATATTTAAAAATATCCTAGCTTTCTAAATTAGAAGCAGTTTTGATAAGCCTATTTGGAATTCATGTGAAACATCCATAACTCTGATAATCTGAACTGTACATGGCAAAGGTAAATTGCTTCTAGGCAGTAATTCTAGGTGTAGGTTTAGAGGGACTATACAGTAATCAAGTCTCCATTGCTTTATAGATAGCTCTCACTCCTTGGCCTCTTACTTTCCAGATTGCTTCTTTGTTAGCCTCCCTGTTGGCTCCTTCCTCTTTTCATTCTCTTTAATGTCTCTATTCCCCAGTGTTCTGCTTTTGCCTCCATAGCCTTACTCTACAAGCTCTTCCTGGCTATTTTATCTTCTCTAATCACTTCAGCTATTGTCAGCAACCTCATGACCTATTTAATCTGACTCTCCGGTCCTGATTTATTTCCTGAGCTCCAAACCCAGACTTCTACTGCCTATGGGATATTTCAACAGTGAGGTCTCACAAGTACTGAAATTTAGCACACCGCTAACCAAACTCATGATTTTTCTCCACCATAAACTCACTTGTCCCCCTTCGTGTCCAACTCTTGTACCCTTTAATACCCTATTGCAATGAATATCATCATCTCCTATACTGTAAATTACAAGAAGGCAGAGACCATGTCTATCTTGTCCACCCCTTGTAACCACAGCACCTAGTATAGTGCCTGGCGCATGGTAGACACCCAGTAAATATTGTTGAGTAAATGATGAATCTATTTATTTTTCCAAACTAAAAACCTTGGAATCCCCCTCGATGTCTCTTTCCCCCTCACTCTCCATGCCCAGTCTGAGACCTGTGGGGTTTATTACATAAAACACTTTTACATTTGGCTCCTCCTTCCCCTTCATCCCCGCTGCCATGACTTGAATTCAGCCCTGACCATCTATCTCCTGGATTATTGAATTCAGCCCTTACCATCTATCTCCTGGATTATTGCAGGAGCCTCCTCATTGGTCTTCCTGTTACCTGCTTTTCCCCATTCATCACCATCTGATCCCCAGAGTGATCTTGCACCTTGAATCTAATCAGCTTACCCTCAGGCTCCCCTTGACTTAAACAGAGTTTGCAATCTGGCAGCTTTAAGAGGAATCCACGCAGTCTGTACGGCGTTTTGAGAAAATGAGAATGACTGTATTTTGTTGATTCTAAGATGTATATATTTTTTTTCACATTTTAGCAGCTCTGATATTGGGATGTGTCTTGAAATGGACAGTGTCATAGTTTGATCAGTGGTGGTGTTCTCTCTTATCGGTACATAAAACAGCAGTGCACCCTATAATCAGTGGCTTCATAAATTTGCTGAAACATACTCATGCTAACATTTAAAAATAAGGAGATCATACATACAACTATCTTCAGCTTCTCTTGGAAAATTACATCAGGCAACACTGGGCTGTGATTTCTGGATAGCAGCCGAAGATGGAGCTACCAGTAAGTAGCAGCTACCTCATTTAGACAAAAACTCGCTACAGTGTCTCATGGTTTCCGCCCAGGCTGCTTTAGTCATTTGTATTATCTGCCCTAGCCCATTAAGCATTTGAAAGGACAATCCCTGACTGATAAGTTGAAGTCCAGATTCTTTGCTGTGATTTATAAGAACACACAGGTGGCACCAACCTACCTCCCCCAGGTTAATGCTCCCAACCTTTGCTCTGTACTCCCTCTATCCCCCAATCTCGAATATAATGGGCTCCCATGTTCCCTGGAATGTCTTTCTCCATCTTTTACGCCCTATGAAACATTTTCTGGCATTCCCAGGTCGAGCTCATTTCTTTCTGGACTCCAGTAGTACATGGGCGTGTCTCTGCAAAAACTGCAGTTACTTTTCCACTAACCTAAAGTACAGTTCTGTGGGGTTTTTTTGTTTTTTGTTTTTTGAGATGGAGTTTCTCCCTTGTTGCCCAGGCTGGAGTGCAATGGCACAACCTTGGCTCACCGCAACCTCCGCCTCCCGGGTTCAAGGGATTCTCTTGCCTTGGCCTCCCAAGTAGCTGGGATTACAGGCGCCTACCACCACGCCTGGCTAATTTTTTGTATTTTTAGTAGAGATACAGTTTCACTGTTTTGGTCAGGCTGTTCTTGAACTCCTGACCTCAGGTGATCCACCACCTCGGCCTCCCAAAGTGCTGGGATTACAGGCGTGAGCCACCATGCCCGGCCAGTTCTGCGAATTTTAACACATGGATAGATTAGCATAACCACTGTCATCATCAGGATATAGAACCTGCCCCCCAAAACTCCCTCCTGCTAGCCCTTTGTAGTCACTCCCCTCCCTCACCCATAAACCCCTGGTAACCGCTGATCAGTTCCCTGTCACTATAGTTCTGTCTTTTTGAGAATGCCATATAACTGTCTGTATCCCTTTCGGCCTAGCCTCTTCCACTCTCATAATGCCTTTGAGACCCATCCAGGTTGTGTGTATCAGCTTCATTCATTTTTATTGCTAAGTAGCATTTCATTGTGTGGATGTCCCACGGTTTGTGGGACACTCACTGAAGGACATTTAAGCTCTTTTCAGTGTTTGACCATGTGAACCTGTATACACGTTTTTGCATGAATAGAAAATTTTATTTCTCTAGAATAACTACCCAGGAATAGGATTGCTGTCATATGGTAAGTATATGTTCAACTTTATAAGAAAGTACCAAACTCTTGTTCAGAGTGGCTGTACCGCTTTGCATTCCTGCCAGCAAAGTGTTAGAGTTCGAGTTGCTCCACATTCTAGCCAGCACTGGATATTGTATTAAAAAATTTTTTTAGCTGGGCACAGTGGCTTATGCTTATAATGCAAATACTTTGGGAGGCTGAGGCAGGCAGATAGGTACAGACCAGTCTGAACAATGTGGCAAAACTCAGTCCCTACAAAAAAATACAAAAATTAGCCGGGCATGGTGGCATGTGCCTATGATCCCAACTACTTGGGAGGCTGAGGTGGAAGGATAACTTGAGCCCAGAAAGTCAAAGTTGCAGTGAGCTGTGATTGTGTCACTGTGCTCTAGCCTGGTGACAGAGACCCTGTCTCAACCTCCACCCCCCAACCCAAACTTAGCCATATTCATAGACATATAGTGGTATCTCATGGTTTTAATTTTAATTTCTGCTTCCTTGAATCTGGCCTGGAAGAACTGGAGGGAACAAAAGGTAAACTCACTGTCAGTTCAGTGGTACTTCAAACTCTGATCTGTTTCCTTCATCTGCCTTCTGTTATTTACTTTTCAGAGTCCTCATGTTACTTGTTTATTGCTGTGGAACAGCTTACCAAAAAATCTAGTGGCTTAAAACAACACATGTTTATGATCTTACAGTTTCTGTGGGGCAGAACCCAGGCATGGCTTACTTGGGCCCTCTACTTCAGCATCTGTCGTGAGCTGCTGCACACAATGTGTTGACTGGGCTGCTGTCATCTGAAGGCTTGACTGGGGAGGGATCCACTTCCAAGTCCATATGGTTGTTGGCAAGAGTCAGTTCCTCGTGGTCTGTTTGACTGAGGGCCTTAGTTCCTTGCTGGCTTTTGGCCAGAGACTTCCCCCAGTCCTTTGCCACATGGGCTTCTCCCACGTGGCAGCTTACTTCATTGAAAGCACAAAAGCTGTGAAGGCCATAGGGTCTGCTAGCAAGACAGAAAGTCACAGTCTTTTATAACCTAGTCATAGAAGTGACATCCCAATACCATTGCCATGCTCAATTGATTAGAAGCAAGTTTCTGGGTCCAGCCTATGCTGAAGAGGAGGGATGATACAAGGGTGTGAATTGACCAGGAAGAAGGGATCATCAGGGGCAGCTTAGAGTCTGTCTGCCACAGTCCTCAAATAGCTGTTTCATGGATTCTGTCCAGGTTTTATAGCTTTATCCCATGGGAGAGAAAGAGTAGAGTGGGTAGAGTGTCCTTTTTCCATCTTACCCAGACCAGAACCTTCTGTGAAGCTTTTGGATTTGATTTATGAACATTCAGGGTTAATTTAAGGAATTTCTTTAAACTCAAGCCATCAAGGACCAAGCTAGGGTTAGATTAAGCAGTGGTCTGAATTAAAATTCTGATATCTATTAATCTATTTATTAAATCACAACCAAGGAAAGCTCAACTTTTGTATCTAAGATGGAGCCTTTTGAAAACTGAACTTCCACACTTTAAAACGTGATGGCTGTTTTAGCCTGTCGTTGTGGCTGCTCACCAGGTGACCCCAATAGAAACATTTGGCAAGCACTGACCTTTATAAATTTCTTCCGTTTGATGGTGATTCATAACCCACTTTTAATTTCTTTTAATGACTTCCTAATGACTTGCCAGATCTGTCCTCTCTTTTCTCCTACTTAATGTGATTTTTCAGTACCCAGAACTCACCCTTGAAAATATGCTTGATCCTTTTTCTATTTAAGTGAAAAATTACTTGGTATTCCTTCTCTTCACAAGGGAGCAGGCTCTTTAAATTAGAGTCCTTTTATTTTATGTATTTATTTTTTTGTGAGACAAGGTCTTGCTCTGTTGCCCAGGCTGGAGTACAGTGGCTCTATCATGGCTTACTGTAGCCTCGATCTTGCAGGCTCAAGTGATCCTCCTGCCTCAGTCTCCCAAGTAGCTGGGACAACAGGCATGTCCCACCACACCCAGCTAATATTTTTTTTCTTTTTTTTTTTAGTAGAGATGAGGTCTTGCTATGTTTCCCAGGCTGCTCTCCAGCTCATCAGCTCAAGCCATCCTCCCTGCTCAGCCTCCAAAGTGCTGGGATTACAGGTGTGAGCCACTGCCCCCAGCCTTTTTGAACTTTTTTTGATCATGGACCCCTCACAGTAAGTTTGGTGAGAATGGACCAAGCATATTTATTTATTTACAGCTAATATTGCTGAACTCATTTATTGTGTACATGATCAAATATATATGGAAATAGAAAAGTTAACAGGAATAAGAAAATAGATAAAAATATGAGTTCTGATGTTTTGCTTTCTGCTCTCCAGCAGATCTCTGTGCATCTGCCGTGGGGCAGCTACCCCAGTTTTGGAGACTGCTAGGGGTTAGGAAGTGGTGATTGGGTGTGGTTGCTTGCCAGTGGCCTCAACATCAGGAGGCTAGCTCAGAGTCATCAGAGCTGAGAGGCCAGCCCTCTGTGAGCTTCCCCGCTTTGGTGCTACAGGGCTTTGAGGTATCAGGAGCCACAAGCAGACACCTTAAGTACCCACCACCAAATAGATCTGTACATGCCACTGTTTTCTTAATCTCCTCTCCAGTCCAGCTGCTTTGCCTCGATTCTAGCATACTTCTCAGGGTGTGTCATGATCAATAATGGGAGCTGCCCATTAGAACTACTTTGCCTGGGCAGAAATTGGAACTGTGGCAAGGTCCAGGAAGCTTATGAAATAGGAGAGGCTTGCTTGCAATGCCCTCTCTCTCCCTTGAGAGGTAGTCAGGCTTCTCCATTTCCCTCGTGTTTTCATAGTTTGCTATTGCCATGGACTAACTAAATGTCTTGGGTTGGGATCCCTCAGAAGCAGAGTCTGAGATAAACATTTGAGAGCAAGTTTATTTGGAAGGCAGGAGCAAAGAAAGTACAGCAGTGGGGAAGTGAGAAAGGAAGGGAAGGCAATCAAGAGAGATTAAGTCCAGCCTGAAGAGGTGGAGAGGGCAGCCGTTTTTCAGTCTTAACATCAGGGCACCTTTCTCTATGTAATTGCAGCATTATCTTTAGGAAAGAAGTTCATTTTGATTTCTAGTTCCCCTCCTGCGTTTCACACCCTAGTTAAGTACTGTAGAATATGCATAGCTATGAGAACCCCCTCTTCCCACCTCTTTTCCTCTGGCGGATGCCTGATCAGTCATCAGGTCTCCGCCCATGCATCACTTCTAGGAAGCCTTCCCTCATCCCCCTTTCTGAGATAGCGCTCTTTCTCTGCACCCCTGGAGTGTCTCCTACCTGTTTTATTATTTTGTCATACTGTATTGCTTTCATTTATTCATGTAATAGATATTTATTATGTGCCTGGCACTGTTATAAGTACCTGGTGTGTATATTCCAATATCCAATCATGTATATATTTTGTTCTCTGCCATTTATGTCTCTGTCCCTCAGCAGCGCCTGCCACATAGGAGGTGCTTGCCACATAAGATGGTTTAAAACTGTTAACATCACTCTGCCCGTCATTTTTTCTTTTTTCAGGCTGGAAGAACACATCCCCTGGTCAGCTGTAGGAAAGCCAGAGAGCATTTGAGAAGAGGCTGAAGCTTGAATTTTGCAAACACACAAGGTGCTGACTCAGGCAGTAGAGTATAATGATTATAATAAGCAGGGGTTCTAAAGCCAAAGTGCCCGGGTTCAACTCCCAACTCTGCCCCTCATTTGCTGTTTGATTTTAGGCTACAATTCCTAATGGGTGAAGAGGGATCATAATAGTATATACCTCAGAGGATGGTGTGTGGATTAGATAAGATTAACATATGTAAAATTTAGAAGTGCCTAGAACATGGTCAGTGCTCAATAGATGTTATCATTATTGTGATTTATTCACTTACATCAATGTTGGTTCATGTAACAATTGGAGGCTGACTGTAAGACCCCTTTGGTGCTCACAGTAACATTTCAGTGTTCTTTCTACAATGGAAAAATACAAGGAAGTTGTTCATTTAAAGCAAATTCTGAGTTTTCAACAAATCGCATAAAGGGCACAGCCAATCCAATTCGTGGTCCAGGGGCTGGCCATTAAAATAACAACCTAAATCATGAGGTTTTTTCCCTGCTTTCCTTTCTTTCTGTGGTTAAACAAATATTTGGTGAGTACCTCTTTTGCATTCAGTAATAACTAGGTTTAAAACTGAGGATGTGGCCAGGCGCAGTGGCTCACGCCTATAATCCCAGCACTTTGGGAGGCCAAGGTGGATCACCTGAGGCCAGGAATTCGAGACCAGCCTGGCCAACATGGTGAAACCCCGTCTCTACTAAAAATACAAAAATTAGCTGGATGTGGTGGTGTACACCTGTAATCCCAGCTACTCGGGAGGCTGAGATAGGAGAATCACTTAAGCCCGGGAGGCAGAGGTTGCAGTGAGCCCAGAGTGCACTGCTACACAGCCTGGGTGACAGAGTGAGACTCTGTTTCAAAAATAAAACACACACACACACAACTGGGGATGCCAAGAGGAATGAAATAGATCCTTTCCCTTTAGGATTTCACATGTAAAAGGGCAAATTACAGCACACTTTGAGCAGCTCTATAATTGGACGCACACATGGCTTTGAGAGCCAGAAGACAGAGTGACTAATTCCCCTTTGGTGATTCAGGAAAGACTTCACACAGAGGAGGTGACATTGGAACAACTGTATCTAGACATAGCCATAATTTAATGGCTGAGGATTGAATAGGCATTTGGTTGGGAAAGCCAGCTGTATAGCTACATTGTCCACTATTTTTTTTGGAGCCTGAGTAATTATGCTATCATTTACAATTTGTGTGGCAGCCTCATCAGGTCCTACTTTTGGTGTCCCCACCATGGAAACCTAAGTGGTTGTATTGCCTCATAATGAGGCCCTCTGGTGAGGTTAATATACTAATAGGAGAACAGAAGCCCAGAACCACCTCGCCAGTTGTTTTTCAAGTGACTCCATCCGATTAAATGGCAAACTAGGTAACCACTTTACTAGTAGATCTCCTGTGGCTCTCATTTGCAGAACGTAATCGAGCTAAAGAGCAGCTTGGGTGGGGTTATGAAATGTTTATGGCTGGAGTCCTGTAAATTTTAGCTGGCAAAGCCTAAGACCAGTAAGCTTGAAAACATGTATGCTGTGTCACCAGCTAGGAAGAGTTTGCCAGGGAAACTGCTGGCGGTGCAGCCACGGTCAGCATGAGACTCTGGGAACAAGACCACTGCTAGATTGCCTCAAACATAGCAGAACTGTGGCTGCTGGCATCCATTACTGCCATGGGCACTTTGAATTTTCAAGTATGTTTTTCTCCTCCCCCAAACTCAGCAACATTACAGGCCAACTTTCCTTTCCCTTTCTGCTGATGAAGGGAGGTAATTCTCCCTTCACAGGTAGGTTCTCCAACAAGGAGCTATTGAACAGCTGGTGGAGTACAAATGTCTTATGACCCAGTGGCTGCTCCCTTAAACCCACACCTTTCTAGAACCAAGGAAGAATGTTTCATTTTTTCACTTCTCTTAATTGTACCAGGTTACTGTAACGTTTTCTAAAAACTATCCTCAGTTTACCTAAAGAATGCTTTTCTGCTCTTATATACTGAAATTCTGTTTTCTATTTTGTACTGATGGCAGATTATTTATGCAAACAATAGCCTGGTCCTGCCCATGCGGAGCCTGGTCCCTTTGGAAGCAGTCACGTGGCCGCTGACTTTGCAGCCCATTACTTGAGTGCATCTCCAGGCCAGGAACAGAGCAGGGTTGGGGCAGAGAGCTGCACTCACCGCCAGCGCACTGTCTCCCAGATTCTTGCTCTGGGCTTGCCTTCCAGGCTGAAAGGCAAAGCAGCCTGGCCCTGTTCTAGTTATTTCTTTGTGTATGAGTGTGTATATATGTTTGTTTATTTAAGAAAGAGCTCTCTCTGCAGAGTAGGGTGTGTGTGTGTGTGTGTGTGTGTGTGTGTGTGTGTGTATGTGTGGGGTGCTTCAGAGAGAGCTGAAATTGTACCTCTTTTCTTTCAGACCTCTGCATTTCCCCAGAGAGAAGGTTTTTTTCTTGTCTTCATTTTCTTTGAAACACCTGGGGTGAGGAAAAACCTCTACATTGGCCAAGCAGAAGAAACAGGTAATATGTTTGTTTATTCTTAGGCATTTGGGGCAAGCAGAAGTCTACATCATAAACATATATTGTGTGGCAATGGAACAGGGAATGCGTACTCCTTGGAGTATATCTTACTGCTTTGCAATTTCTCGGAATGATTGTTCTCAAAAATGCTGGTTTTACATCAGTTGCCATCAATCGAAGAAGATGTGCAGATGACTTGGCAGTCTGAAGGATTGTGGCCTATTTCAAATGAACTTGATATTTGGAAAATCTCCTTGGTCACTTGGGTTGAGAGCTAGAAAATGAGGGAAGGGATCCTTTGAGAAACCCTTCTAGGTCCCCTCAGGGAGTATTCTCCAAACTCCACTGCACACCTTCATATTTAGAAATCTTCCTTTAGTTCTCCTGGCTTCTTGTCATCTTAGAGGTTTCTAGCTATCTGTAAGAATGGAAACAGAATTCCTTACAGTGTTCAAAATTCTCTTTAGTGATTTAGTTCTTATGCGAACTGATCAGATTGGATCCTGAAAACAAGGCATAGCCTTTTAGTGGGCAGACATTTTTGTTCCCTACTGATTAGACAGAGCGAGTCTTCAGTTCTGCCACTAATCAGCCGTGCCAGGGAGTATGTTATTTAACTTCTGAGTCTCAGTTTTTTCATCTGTAACATGGGGATATGATGCTACCTTGAAAGTTTGCTGTGAGAGTAAACTGAAATAATAGAAATATAAAGCACCTGCTATGCTGGGTAAGTAGTAGTCCCTTAATAAATAGTAGTGATTTTAGCTACTATTGTGATTACTGGTATAGCATTCTTTCAGATCTTAGAGCTCTCAAGGGAAAAGAGCCTATCGCTTTGCGACTCTTAAATTATCCCAGAACCTGTAGGTACCCAAAGGGCTTAGTCTTTGGGAGGCCCCAGACAAAGCATTGTGAAGAAAGAGACTTGAACAAACACAGTGGGTCCCCACCCATGCGTGGCCCCTCCTAACTCATCAGCTAAAAACAGTTGGTCTTTGTTCAAGCAGTTTTTTCCCACCACTCAGTCCTCAGTACAAGTCAGTAAGATATGGATTATGATCGCTGTTTTCTTATGAGGAAACTGAAGCATAGGGGAATTAATGACTAGCTGAGAATTCAAATTCCTGTTGTCTGACTTCTAAACCCAAGGCTCCACTGGGCCAGCATCAGGCCGTTAGGAACAATAGTTCTTGAGATGCTTTGCTTCAAAAGGGCCCCTTGCTAGGCTGTTTGGGAAATAGTGGTCAGCTCTTTCTGAGAGATTCACAATGTATGTTCATATATTAAAGGCTCTGAGAAGTCCTGCATTAAAGAAACCTGTTCAACCCTACATCCCCTGAACTTATCATGTGATGGTGGGACCTTTATTTTGGTCTTAGTCCTGGAATCATAAACCACATACAACTCTTCTTCCACAAACACGCTTTGGAAAACCTGGCACCAGGCCAAGCTGTTACCTGATTACAATCATGTCTGATATACCAGCAGACACTTTCAAACACCTTCTGGTGGTCAGTATAGTTTCCTCCCTTTTCTTATCCTCTCATCTGGTGAGACCCAGGAAGAATCACCAGCTTGGACTTACAGACCTCCCCTTACTCATGTAAGATCCCAGACATAAGTAATTGCTGCACTGTTCTACTGGAAAGGTAGCGGTGAAAGGGACCTCTCTGGCGCGGGCTGCCAGGGACTCCTCTGCCTCACCCTATGCCTCTTCATTATATTTAGGCCACAGACCTCAGGCTATAAAACCTCTGTGTCAATGAATACCAAGCAGAATGCAATAGGGTGAGCCTGATGAGGCATCTGTTCTCCATGCTAGCACAATCTAAGGGGGAAGAATTATACCTGCCTACTTCACTCCCACTGTGGTGGTCGGGGTGGGGGTGGAGGGTGTTGGTTCCAGTTGAATGACTATGGGTTCCAGGTCTTCAGGGCTAGAGCTAAAGCCAGTTTCTTGCTAAAGCCAACATCTCTAGGAAAAGCTGAATTCTAATATGGGAAACTACGAAACTGACATCTAGAATGCCAGAGAGGGGGTCGTGTCAGGGTGACTGAGCCAAGGTGTGGTAGTGGGATAGAGATGAGCTTAGAAATCAAATCACCTTAAGAATGAACAAGAACAACTTGGGGAGGCTGGGCTAGTGGTTGGAGGGTGCTTGGTGGCGAAGGTTGGTTTGTCTCCACAGCCTGTCTTTTGTTCTTTCCTTGTATTTTCAGCATTGGAAGGAAGTGAAAGATTAGCATGAAAAAAACTGAAAATTATCAGTTCCGCCCACTCACCCCCAACATACACACAGTAAAAACCTTTTAGCGGAAGACTTTCCTTTTGCAAATTATAAGTGAGTGCCAATGATGAATCATTATTTCATGTTTACTCTTTAAAACCATCCTTGGTGTATATTGGAAGGGACAGCAGCACTGGGCAAGTTTCAAGCTGTTTTTTTGCCAAGATCCACCCAGGGGTTCGTGTTACCCACTAGGACATTCTTGGGCCTTTGTGAACCCTGTGGAAGCCCCCCACCTCTTTGAGCCTGAGAACCCTTTTCACACCTCAGGGAATCACTTCTTCAGACTTCTTTAATGCACTTAAATGCTAACAGAGGGTGGGAAATGGAAGAAGCTTAGATTTTACCAAGTCATGGAAAATCCCCAATCATTTTTGTCAGCTTTACATCAGAGATGTCCTCAAAGGTACACGCACTGCTTACAAACTCTCTTCTCTCTCTCCTGGAAGTCCAGATGGTATAGTACATGGGAGGGGTAAGTGGCACCTTGCTTGAACCAGCTCATATTTTGGTGACAATGAAAAAGATCTGACTTTTTTTATAACCTATTACCTGAGAGAAAAACAGTTAAAAAAATAAATTGGTAATATTTATTTAATAATGTAAAAATTATAATAGCCAATTTTTTTTCTAATGGATAATCAAAAAATTCTAGAACAATCATCACGTCTTTCCATCATGATTTAAAAACTTTCTTTAAAAATGATGTATGAGTACTACCCCTTTCTGATTTAATAAAATGCTTTTGTATAATTGAATAGCACATACCTGTGCACAAAATGATGCATTAATAATGACTTTTAGCAACTGAATTTTTAAAGGACTCTGGCCTAGAAATATTGATTCCTTTGTTCATTCATTCATTCATTTAGCATTATCCAACATCTGCAATATGGAAGATACCATGTAGGTGCCAGAGATTCAAGGGCTATTTAGGAAGTTGCCCGCGGGGCTAATAGTCTAACAGAAATATACTCAAGTTTGATGCGCTTTAGTTCTTAGTGAATCTTTTATATGAAATTGTGTTTGTTGTGTAATTTTGTTTGTTGTGGATTAACTGAGGGGTGACCGAAAACCAAATGCCTCTGGAGGGACATTGAGACATTGCTTTTTTTTTTCTGGAAAAGGAAAATCGAAATTGAAATATATCAATCAGTCCAATCAGTGTTTAAGGCCTACTAAATGCTCAATTCTTTTTTTTCCCTGTTTTCTTTTTTAAATTAAAAAATATACTTTTTTTTAAGTCAGGGTTTCACTCTGTCGCCCAGGCTGGAGTGCAGTGGTGTGATCATGACTCGCTGCAGCTTTGACCTCCCAGGCTCAGGTGATCCTCCCACCTCGGCCTCCTGAGTAGCTGGGACTACAGGTGGGCACCACCACGCCCAGCTGATTTTTTGTATTTTTTGGTAGAGATGGGGTCTCCCTATGATGCCCAGGCTGGTCTCGAACTCCTGGGCTCAAAGGATCCATCTGCCTCAGCCTCCCAAAGTGCTAGGATTATGAGTGAGAGCCACTGCACCCAGCCCCAATTCTTATGTCTTCATAAAAAGGGGTAGAAAAAATAGCATGAGGATGGAGCGAAGCCCAAGGGAGATTTGGATGCTGTTGGAAAATAGTGTTCTCCAACTGAGATATGGGGATTGCTTGCATCAAAGTTCCTAGCGTGGTGCACTTTAAATGCATATTCCAAGGCCCTGGACTTTTGAATCTGAGTATTGTTGGTAAAGCCTGGGAATCTGCATCCCCCCACCCCCAATACGTCTTGTGAGCACTCAAGTTGGAGAGCACTGATCTAGGCACCTGGAGAATGTCACCAGGACTAGATGAATTCCTAGATGAACAGTGCCCCAATTTCAAAAATGAGAAAAGAGTATATGCTAGAAGCTACAGACTCATTGGCCTGACACGACCTCTGGAAAAATTCAGCTTGAAATAGATGGAGCCAAAGTATTTCTAGGAAAATGTGATCATCACTATGCAGCACCATGGGTTTGCTAAAATACCATCTCTATTACAGATTGTCAAACTTTACTGTGTATTAGAATCTAGAAAACTGGAAAAAAAAAAATCTTGATGCCCAATCCCCCACCCAGTACCAATTACGTCAAATTCTCTGGAGGTGGTTCTTGAGCATCAGTATTTTTTAAACCCCAAGAGATTCTGACTTAATGAGGTGCAGGCTGAGTACTGGGAGTTTGAAAAGCTCCCCAGGTGACACTCATGTGCAACGAAATATAACAACCACAGGTCTATATGACATGGGACAAGTTGTTTAACTTCCTTGCACTTTGTGTGAATACTAGGTAATTTTAAAGGTCTCTCTCACCTTTAAACTTCTATGATTTTGTTATTAAAAATCTTGCCAGATTGATTTCCTTCCTTTCTTCCTTCCTTCCTTCCTTCCTTCCTCCTCTGCCCTTCCTTCCTTTTCTCCTCCTTTCCTCTCTCTTCTTTTGCTGGAATAAGCTGGAATGTCAAAGTATCAAAATACATACATATCATCATTTTATTAAAACATTTAGTAAAATTCTCCAGGATGTCTCACAGATAAATGAGAGTTATGATAGGTGAGTTTACCAGCTAACTGAACAAATGTACTCAGCTAGTCTGAAGGTGACGGATCTCTGGTGAACCTGGAGGATGGTTTGGAGTGGAATGCCGCAGGGCTCATCCTGCCCTTGGATCTGACCTTGTTAATGTTCTTTAGCCATGACGTAGATAAGGAAGACACGAAAGAAATGCTTATCAAATTTGGAAACAGAGCCAAGCACGGTGGCTCATGCCTGTAATCCCATCACTTTGGGAGGCTGAGGTGGGCACGTTGCTTGAGGCCAGGAGTTTGAGACCAACTTGGGCAACATGGTGAGACCCCATGTCTACAAAAAAGTACAAAAATTAGCTGGGCAGCGGTGGTGCATGCCTGTAGTTCCAGCTGCTCAGGTGGCTGAGGTAGGAGAATCACTTGAGGCTGAGAGGTGGAGGCTGCAGTGGTTCATGGTTGCATCACCCAGCCTGGGTGACAGAGCAGGATCTTGTCTCAAAAAATAAATAAAAATTTAGAAATAACCCAAAGTTTAGGAAGGCTAATTAATTCAATACATAAAATAATCAGGTTCACCTCTGGTCAGGAAATCTGTTTATTAAGCTTATTGTTATTTTCAAAACATTGCCATAGTTCAAATATTTTGCTTATTTTAGTTTTCCCTTTCTTTAGTCAAGTTGAAATTTTGAAGCTTTTGGTGTAGTACTAATGGAAAGATAGCTATGTCAGTTGTTCGCTGACTTTGTTCCTGTCAAGACATGCAGAAAGGGCTGGGCAAGATGGCTCACACCTGTGATCCCAGCACTTTGGGAGGACCAGGTCAGAGGATCACTTGAGCCCAGGAGTTTGAGACTGGCCTCGGCAACATAGGGAGACCCTGTCTCTACAAAAAAATAAAATTAGCTGGGTGTCACGGCACATGCTTGGGAAGTTAAGGCTGCAGTGAGCCGTGATTGTGCCACTACACTCCATCCTGGGTGACAGAGTGAGACCCTGTCTGGGGAAAAAAAAAAAGAGAGAATGCAAATATATTAGATCAGGTTGGTTTGGAGCATCACAAAATAAAGGAGACATCACCCTAAAAAGTGACGTGACAGTATAATATGGAAAGGAATTTTGTTGAAAACTCCCATCAAGTGATTATGGGAGTCAGGAAGCTCCTGAGAAGGACTACAGAACACGAGGTTAGACTCCAGAGGGGCCTCAGCAGTGCCCAGAGAGCTTGTTTAAAAGGACATTCTTGGCCGGGCATGGTGGCTCATGCCTATAATCCCAGCACTTTGGGAGGCCGAGGCAGGTGGATCACCTGAGGTCAGGAGTTCGAGACCATCCTGGCCAACACAGCAAAACCCCATCTCTACTAAAAATACAAAAATTAGCCAGGTGTGGTGGCACATGCCTGTAATCCCAGCTACTAGTGAGGCTGAGGCAGGAGAATCACCTGAGCCTGGGAGGTCGAGGCTGTAGTGAGCCGTGATCACACCACTGTACTCCAGTCTGAGTGACAGAGCGAGACTCCATCTCAAATAATAAATAAAAGGGCACTCTCACAGATTACGATTCCTCAATTTGGGGGGAGGTTTCGAGTCTCCCTTTTTTTTTTTTTTTTTTTTTTGAGATGGAGTCTTGCTCTGTCGCCCAGGCTGGAGTGCAGTGGCGCCATCTCGGCTCACTGCAACCTCCACTTCCTGGGTTCAAGCGATTCTCCTGCCTCAGCCTCCCGAGTAGCTGGGACTATAGATATGCGCCACCATGCCCGACTAATTTTGGTATTTTTAGTAGAGACAGAGTTTCACTGTGTTGGCCAGGCTGGTCTCAAACGCTTGACCTCGTAATCCGCCTGCCTCAGCCTCCCAAAGTGCTGGGATTACGGGTATGAGCCACCACGACCGGCTGCCTCCTTTTTTTTTTTTTTTTTTTAAATAAAACAAATGTTCCCAACTTATTCCGAGAAATACTGTCAAAGAACTCACTTTGAATTTCAGCATAGCTGTTTAAATATGTTGTTTTTGTCTCATAGTCAACTTCCAATTTGTGTTTTTAAAAGCCTAGATAGGTTGAATTACTTTGAGCTGAAAGCCAAAACCGTTAATTATGTCAGCTCCTCCACATCCCATTCCCCGTATTTAAATTAGAAAATCGTACACTGTCGTATTTCAATTCTTCTTTTCATTTTGAATGCTCTATTTTATACAGAGCTGGATGTGACCTAGACATGGAGAAACTCATTTATGTCTAGCAGAGAAGCAGCCTATAGCTGCTCTGTAGCTGCTGCTGTGTTTTGGAAAATAAGCCAGGATTAGATTATGTCTGATCACTTTCCACATCACATGATGAACAGCGATTCAGAAGAAGCATAAAATGAATCCTGCTGAGCAGCCCCTCAGCTACCATGTGGTTAACTGGCGGTTTCCTTCCCTCCCTCCTGTGTGTTCCTCATTAGGATCTATAACTGAAGAGGATCGGCTAAGAGTGGTTCCTCGCAGCTTAAAGGGAGGGACTTTTCACACTCTGTCTTAAAATCAGAAGTTGAATTCATGAACACATATGATTTAGATAGAAGTCATGGGATGCAGCAGTTCTTCAACGAAAACCAGGAAATCTGAGACATGTGAGTACTTGGAATGTGCCTGTGGTTATGAATGAAAAGGGGAAAATGAACTGGCCTCACCCTCTCCCCCTTTCTCATTTACTCCCACGATGCTCAAGCTGCCCTGTGTGATTTGCACAAGGCATCATTAGAGGAGCATAGGAAACTACATTTAGGAAGATGTAGCTTTGAATTTATGAAGTACTATAAAGTATTGTCTTAGAGATATTTTATGATTGATTTAATTTCAGTCGATAATGTACCAATATAAAATCTCAATTTAAAACTCAGTGTCAGGGAACAAGAAAGACAGTGTAATTTATGTGTATTTCTTCAATACTTTTATAAATAGCTATATCCCTACTTTTGTGACATTTAGTAGCATCATTGAATTTTTATTGGATTTTATAACTCAATGATCACATTATTTCTATATCTATTCAACACAGAACGTCATGAGATTTGCCTCATGTTTTAAAAATATTCTAGGAGAATTGGGAGAATGCTAGATCATCTGTTTCCAAAAAAAGGTGTATTGTTTCTAAATAGATGGCATGCCTTTCTCTACCCCCGTATAATTAGAAGCTTAAATATTCACTTTGTTTATTTTGTACTGAGGTTCTTTCTCATGGCTATTGGCATCTAGTTGAAACAAACTTGAGCGTTTAGGGATAGAGTTTCCAACAAGCGAATTAAAATAAAAACAAGTAAATAAGCTGGGACAATCAGTATGAGTAATTTGCTCTTAAACTCCACTTCTTTGATGTCTAGGTTATAGGTAATTTCCCCAACTTCTATCCCACATCTTGCCTTTGGAAGTTTATTCAGGTTTAAGATGGAGAGTTTAGGATGCAGAGTGCGCTATACTAATTAGCGTGGGATGTTTTCCTTTGGGAATCAAATGTTATTCTCCTACCCAGCTGACTTGTGCTGATGATGTAGGAAACTCATCTCTGAAAGTAGGAAGGGACATAGGAGGTATACTAACTCTTTCAAATCTTTAAGCATGTCATGAAATAACTCTTTCAAAAGCTCCATGTGAACTCTACTACTATAGTAGACATTTATTAGCTGAGAGTAAAGAGAAATGATCTTTTTATATCTAGGATTACTCACAGTTCTTTAAATTTAGCCAGATTTCTTAGGTTAAAAAAAAAAAGCCAAGTCCAACTTGTAAAAACAAATTCTCTCTCTTTTTGAAATACTTTTCAACTTTTAAAACATTGCATGTAAGTGGAAATGTTAGCTTAGATTTTTGGATTGCTTTTTCTTCCAAATACCTGTGATTTATTGAGGTGAAATTCATATAACATGAAATTGGCCATTGTCAAGTGAACAACTCAGTAGCAGTTGGTATGTTCACAGTGTCGTGCAAGCACAACCCCATGTACTTCCGAGACATTTCCGACACTCCAGAGTAAAACCCCTTATCCATTAAGCACTTTCTCTCTCCTCTCAGCCCCTGGCAACCACAAATCTGCATTCAGTCTCTACGGATTTATCTATTCTGGACATTTCATGTAAATGGAGTCATACATTGTGTGACCTTTTATGTCTGGCTTTGTCCATGTTGTAGCATGTATCAGTACTTTATTCCTTTTTATTGCGGAATAATATTTCATTGTATGAATATGCCACATTGTATTTATCCATTCATCAATTGATAGACATTTGGATTGTTTCAGCTTTTTTTTTTTCTTTTTTTTTTTTTTTTTTTTGAGACAGAGTCTTGCTCTGTCACCCAGGCTGGAGTGCAGTGGTGCGATCTCTGCTCGCTGCAACCTCCACCTCCCGGGTTCAAGCGATTCTCCTGCCTCAGCCTCTGGAGTAGCTGGGACTACAGGCACACACCACCACGCCTGGCTAAGTTTTGTATTTTTGATAGAGATGGGGTTTTACCATGTTGGCCAGGCTGGTCTCGAACTCCTGACCTCAGGTGATTCGCCACCTGGGCCTCCCAAAGTGCTGGGATTACAGGCGTGAGCCACTGCTCCCGATCTGTTTCATCTTTTTTATTGTTATGAACAATGCTGCTGTGAACATACGTTTTCCATTCTCTTGGGTATATACCTAGAAGTGGAATTGCTGGGTCATATGGTAGTTTTATGTTTAACATTTTGAGAAATTTCCAAGCTGTTTTCCCAAGTGACTGCGCCATTCTACATTCCTACCAGCAGTGTATAAGGGTTTCACTTTCTCCACATTTTCAGCAATAGTTGTTATTGTCTGTCCTTTTGATTATAGTCATCCTAGTGGGTATGAAGTGGTATCTCACCGTGGTTTGCATTTGTATTTCTGTAATGACTACTGACATTGAGCATCTTTTCATGTGTTTATTGGCTATTAGTATATCTTCTTTGGAGAAATATCTATTCAGATCATGTATCCATTTTTAATTGAATTATTTATTTTTTATATTATTTTGTTGTAAGAGATATTTATATATTCTAAATACAAGTTTCCTATCAAATATGTGATTTGCAAATATTTTCTCTCATTCATTGGATTCTCTTCATACTTTCTTAATGGTGTTCTTTGAAGCACAAAAGTTTTTTTTTTTTTTTGAGGTGGAGTCTCACTCTGTCGCCCAGGCTGGAGTGCAGTGGCGCGATCTTGGCTCACTGCAAGCTTCGCCTCCCGGGTTCACGCCATTCTCCTGCCTCAGCCTCCGGAGTAGCTGGGACTATAGGCGCCCGCCACCTCGCCCGGCTAATTTTTTGTATTTTTAGTAGAGACGGGGTTTCACCATGTTGGCCAGGATGGTCTCGATCTCCTGTCCTCGTGATCCGCCCACCTAGGCCTCCCAAAGTGCAGGGATTACAGACGTGAGCCACTGTGCCCAGCCAAAAGTTTTTAATTTTGATGAAGTTCACTTTATTTTTTTCTTTGGTTGCTTGTGCTTTTGGTGTCATATCTAAGAATCCATTCCCGAATCCAAAGAGATTTATGCTCATGTCTTACTTTAAGAGTTTTGTAACAACTCAACAAGAAAAAAAATAAATAAATAAAATAAAAAAGTGGGCAAAGATCACGAACAGACACTTTTTTTTTTTTTTTTTTTTTTTTTTTTTTGAGACGGAGTCTCGCTCTGTTGCCCAGGCTGGAGCACAGTGGCTGGATCTCAGCTCACTGCAACCTCCGCCTCCCTGGTTTACGCCATTCTCCTGCCTCAGCCTCTCAAGTAGCTGGGACTACAGGCGCCCGCCACCTCGCCCGGCTAGTTTTTTGTATTTTTTAGTAGAGACGGGGTTTCACCGTGTTAGCCAGGAGGGTCTCGATCTCCTGACCTTGTGATCCGCCTATCTCGGCCTCCCAAAGTGCTGGGACTACAGGCTTGAGCCAGACACTTTTCAAAAGAAAGCATACAAATGGCCAAAAAACATATGGAAAAAATGCTCAACATCACTAATCATCAGATAAATGCAAATTGAAAACATAATGAGATACCATCTTACATACCAGTCAGAATGGCTATTACTAAAAAGTCAAAAAACAAGCGATGTAGGCGAGGATGTAGGGAAAAGGGAATGTTTATCACTGCTGGTGGGAATGTAAATTAGTACAACCTCTGTGGAAAACATGGAGATTTCTCAAAGAACTAAAAATAGAACTACCAAACTACCATTTCATCCAGCAATCCCACCACGGAGTCTACCCAAAGGAAGTCATTATATCGAATAGATACCTGCACTCTTATGTTTACCCTGACAGCACTGTTCACAATAGCAGAGATATGGAATCACCATAAGTGTCTTTCAGTGGATGATTGGATAAAGAAAATGTGGGGTATATGTATATGTATGTGTGTGTGTGTATATATATATATATTGTGTGTGTGTGTATATACACATATGTATATATGTGTGTGTGTGCATATATATATATGCCATGGAATACTACTCAGCCATAAAAAAGAATGAAATCATGTCTTTTGCAGAAACATGGATGGACCAAGAAGCCATTATCCTAAGTGAAATTACTCAAAACCAGAAAGTCAAATACCCCATGTTCTCACTTATAAGTGGGAACTAAATAATGTGTACACATGGGCATCCAGAATAGAATAATGGACACTGGAGACTCAGAAAGCTGGGAGGGTGGGAGGGGGTTGAGGTATGAGAAATTACCTAATGAGTATAATGTATGTGACTTGGGTAATGGTTACACTAAAAGCCCAGACTTCATTATACATGTAACAAAATTGCACTCCTACCCCCTAAATATATGTATTTTTAAAGACCAAAAAAACAGTTTTGTAGTTTTAGCTCTTACATTTAGGCATTTGAACCATTTTGAGTTGCTGGTTTTCACATATGGTGTAAGGTAAGAGTACAAATTCATTTTTTGCATGTGGATATCCAGTTGTCTCAGCACCATTTGTTGAAAAGATTGTTTTTCCCCATTGAATCCTCTTAGCACCATTGTCAAAAATCAACTGACCATAAATGTTGTTTATTTCTGGGCTCTCAATTCTATTCCAATGGTCTGTATGTCTTTCTTATGCTGGTACCAGTGTCTGGATTACTATAGCTTTTTTTTTTTTTTTTTTTTTTTTGAGAAGGAGTCTTACTCTTGTCGCCCAGGCTGGAGTGCAATGGCGTGATCTCAGCTCACTGTAACCTCTGCCTCCCAGGTTCAAGCGATTCTCCTGCCTCAGCCTCTGGGGTAGCTGGGATTACAGGCACAAACCACCATGCCTGGCTAATTTTTTTTTTTTTTTTTTTTTTTTTTGAGACGGAGTCTCGCTTTGTCGCCCAGGCTGGAGTGCAGTGGCTCGATCTCGGCTCACTGCAAGCTCCGCCTCCCGGGTTCACGCCATTCTCCTGCCTCAGCCTCCGAGTAGCTGGGACTACAGGCGCCCGCCACTTCACCCGGCTAATTTTTTGTATTTTTAGTAGAGACGGGGTTTCACTGTGTTAGCCAGGATGGTCTCAATCTCCCGACCTCGTGATCCACCCGCCTCGGCCTCCCAAAGTGCTGGGATTACAGGCGTGAGCCACCGCGCCCGGCCTAATTTTTGT